CCAGAAATGGGGACAAGAGAGCCATCAGCAATAGACACTTTATCCCTACCAGAAGATAAATGATAAGTGGTAAACATTGAAGGCAAGCTAGTCATATGGTTGGATGCACCTGAATCTATTACCCAACAGGGTTCAGTAGTACCTAGAGCTGAGGCTCGAGTACTTGAGTGTGCGAAAGCAGATGTGGCAGGGGCTAATGGTGACTGCAGTGTCTGAGCTGAGTTCCCAACTTCCTTTTCCAACTATATAAGGGCAGCCTGAACTACAGCTAAGGTCTCTAAGAATGTGCCTCTTGTGCCAGACGAGGATGCTGAATCAGTATTCACGACCACATGAGCATTACCCTTCTTGCTTCTCAACTTTGCCGGGACCAAATGAGGATGCAGCTTCCAACATGTTTCTTTTGTGTGTTTGGGTTTCTTACAATGCTCACATATCACATAACTGCTGTTCCCAAAACTGCCTTCGGCCTGATTTTTAAACTCCATTTCGGTCAAGAACCAGTAGTCTCAAAATTAGGGTTATTGATGATCTGAAACCAACTAGCAAGCACAACAGCAACAGTCCGTACAGTTCTCACCCCTTAAGAGTGTCCGAAAACCCCAAAAAAATCTGAAAACAGCTTGGAAGCAGGTCTGATATGCTTAGCAGAATTAGGGTTTTAATCAGTCCTTAAAGAAAACATTTCAGTTGCACATTCCAATCAGTACCGTACAGATAGACTTGCAGTAGGGTTAATATGAAACCCTAAAAGCTGATCAATGCTGAAAAAACTTGAGGAGAGCTCTAAGTAAATCGCAAGGTTCAGCCTAACCTTAGGGCTTGCCGCAAGATTATTAGGGTTTGCCTCAAGATCACTTTCAAACCCTAGAGTAGGAGAAAAGAACCCTAAGGCAGTTCGGCCCAACAATAGGGTTTGTTGTAAAACCCTAGAGAATAGAAGGGAGAAAAACCTAGAATGGTTCGGCCGCCCTTTCCAGATAGGTCCAACCTATCCTCTCTGATAGTACTTCTCTTAGAAAATAAAAAACTTACAAGAAAAAGCTGTTCACTGCCTTCCAAGGTTACCCAAACCCTAGCCTTCTCTGATTCTTCCTGATCACCAGCACTCTGCAACCGTGACAAGTCTTCAACAGCTGCTAAACCCTCTGGCGATCTCCAAGAATCAGTCCACGAACTCCACTTTCTCAGCTTCCAGCCCTAG